GTGCCGTATATTTTTACTGATCTACGGCACTTGATCACGTGGTATGCATGTTTGCCGGACTACTTTTCAAGAAAAAATATAATTATTATTATAATGTTGGACTTTATGTTTGGTGGTTAAATTTGTTTTCGCCTCAGAGTTTCCAATAGAAACGTTCTTTACAGGCCGTTTAAAAGTGAAATAAATGTAAAACTTAACTCGTTTGCGACATTAAAATAGCGTACTTGATTTGATTGTTTTGCACGTGCTGTTTGGCGCTACATTGTGACGTCACGTAAATAATAATTTAAACGTCTGTACAGCGTTAACGACTGAATAAAAGATATTGGTGTTCGAATTCATTTTCTTAGTTAGACCATTTTCTTTCATTCTATATAGTTTTCATAACAAAATTCGACAAAAAATTGTTTTTATTTATCACATTTTTCAAACAAAATGGTGCCCTCAATGTGAAAATACACAGGGAGATAATAAGAACGGCGAGTGCATTGTTGTAGAATAATGCACGCTTCGGGCCTTCTTTGTTTATATAGAAACATTTCCGATAGTGTGATTAAAGGTAGTGAACAGACTCGGACCTTTTATTATAACAGCCTCCTCCTAGCAAAGAACTTTTTGAATTAATGTCATCACAACAATGGACAGTGCTAATTAAATTCTGACTGATTTTGACATAACTACACTTAATGCAAATTAAAATTCCACGGAATATTGACCTGTGTATCCTTCACATACCATCGTCGGATACCCACGGCCGAACCATTAACATTGCATGTTATGTGACATGTTTATCAATCGTGGGTATCCGACGATGTTCACATACATGCATGTACTAAAATAGTCCGTATTTCTTTTGTACAATGACAAACTGATAGAGGTAGCACATTAAAAATGAGGACTGTGCATCACTATCATTCCGAAGTATAAATCATAGTGGTCCGATTTTAACAAGGGGTTGATGTCTCGAAAGCCTCGTATCCTTTACGACGATCGTAACACTGACGTAAGACCATTGTAGCATTTTTTTTTTATTGTCTCGAACAGTTCGTAATTTACGAATTATCGTAAACATCTCCTAAAGTTACGGTAAAAAAACTTGACCCCATAAGAACATCGTAAGTCTACGATAACGAATACAATTGGATTCCATCTTGTCAATTTAGCTTCATTTTCATTTTAAGAGTAAAAGAAAATCCATGTCAAATGCATATTGTACTCAATCAAGCCTCTTTTTCGTTTTTATAATCCAAAGAGTCTGTATCAAATGTATATTGAACTCAAGATAGCATAGTTTTTATTTTGCAAGTCCAAAAATTACATATCAAATCCGTATTGTACGCAAATAAACAAAGTTCTGTCAAAACATTGATGGTGTGAAATAAAGATGCCATTGACAATACTCTGGTTTTGTTGCACTCGTACACAGCTGCAAAACTTATATTTGACAAAGCGCTAGAATTCAGTATTTAACACAACAACGTAAAATAAACTCATATTATCAGTGAAATAAAATCCATATCATGCACAGTATATCATTCACACTGGGACTAGATTGTAGCCTACTGATGAGGGGAGATCGATCACGGCGTAGTAGATTGCTGAACTTGTTTTGGCGAACATTTTAATTTTCATGATTCCGTAAGTTTGCAAATTTCCTAATAAGTGATTGTATTGTTTTGTTGTAAATGGCACATTTCTCGATTCAAATGTCATTATTTCTTTGTTTAATAAAAATGTTAAAAATTACGCCGCGATTGTGACTATAAATTTAAAAACTAACGTTTGTTTACGTAGCGTCCATGCAGCAGTTGAACGTCTGACGTCACCATTAAACGTGTGTTTGTTTCCCGCGCGTCATAATGGCCGTTTTCTACACTTTGCAGGCATTAAATAAAAAGAAAATGACCCGTGTCACGACAAAACCAACATAGTGCGTTTGCGACCAGCATGGATCCAGACTAGCCTGCGCATCTACGCAGTCTGATCAGGATCCATGCTGTTCGCTATCAGTTTCTCTACTTGTAATAGGGTTTGTAAACGCACAGCATGGATCCTGATCAGACTGTGCGGATGCACAGGCTGGTCTGGATTCATGCTGGTCGCAAACCTATTATGTTGGTTTTGTCGTGACGCGGCTCAAATGTGTTAGTTTTTCATGAATATGATATAAATCACACATCGACGTGAGAAAATATTGCAATTATATTGGGATTCCGGTATATAGCATATTCGCTCACAATTAACAAAATTAATATGCTCTATCTATTTAATGCTAAGTAGTGAAAACTGAGTTATTTCAGTGAAATAAAATCCATATCACTCACAGGCCATCACTCACACTATGACTGAAGTAGCTTTGCCGAACCTCTGGCATACCTAATTCAGTAAAGTTGTTAGTTTACATAATAAGTAATTGTTGCTTTTGGTTGGCATATTTCTCGCTTCAAATACCAACTAAAAATTACACCGCAATGATGACAATAAACTTGAATTACGTTTTAGCGCAGCCGTTGAACGTCTGACGTCATCTTTTTTACGTGCGTATGTTACCCCCGCGTCGTTGAAAACTGTAAAAAAAAATTGCCGTTTTCTTCATTTTAAGGGATTTAATAAGAAATTATTTGTCGTTCATGATAATGCCATATATCACACGTCACTCTTTCTTACTTCTGTGCAGCTTCTTTCGCAGGTTGAAACAGAATTTACTTTTGCTATTATCTAGACCATTTTTTGTTTGTTTTCTTTTCACTTGTGATGATTTTAGAAAACATGCTGAAAAAAGTGATTTGCTCTCAGTTTCCTCTCTCGAAAGTACCTCAAGTTCATTTGCAGAACAATTTGTCCTCCATTTTCTTGACTCTATAATTGCGGTGTATTTATTTTTTGTCAATTGTGAGTGTTGTTTCCCCTGGACCTTTAATAATTGTTTCCCGCAAATCTTGTTTAACGTAAATTCTTATATTTTAAGAAACGGACTATTAATGCAAAGTTTATGCAGAATTTCAGGCATCATTTTTATAAACAGGCTATGCCATGTTTTTATTGCAAAAAGACATAGAACTGCGTATGGTAATGTATATATAAAATATTTTCCCCCACTAGAATAATGGGCATAACTTGTACTTGCGCATACCTCCAAATCCAAGCCGCCTAAGTAAATGTTTGATCCGCATGTCTTTCAGGTGAGATAATTTAATTGTTCAATGAATTGAGATATTGCGCTGGTAGCTGTAGAAACATAAATACATTCGGCCTTTCTTCATCACAATTCTGCTTTATTTAGTTGCGTCAGTTAAATTCTAAATTACGGCTGTCACTCTTCTATCTTTATTTGGAGAACATACATGTACGCCGCTTGTCATAGACTTACACTGAATCGTCACATCGACGGTACCATGATTACTGCCGTATACATACATTTGTAGATAATTCAGAATTTTACCATTAACATGATAGTCAGTGACGTGGGAATAAGGAACAAGGCAAGAAAAAACACAGAAACAAAAAAAGCATTCAAAAGCTTGGCTCAATCCTTGTAATAAAGCCCTTGTTTATGCAATGGGGAAAACATTTCACAAAGGATAAGTTGACACAGAACAAAGTATTGGTATAGAGTCTTGTAACAGTTTCAGTAGAAATAAGCAACTTCTAACAGTTATTGCGTAAGCTCATTTTTTATATGTTTTTGTGATATGCATATTAGTCAAACTAATTACAATAGGCGTTGAGATATTTAAAAAATCATCAACAATGTTGTCAAGTGATGTAACAAAGCCGGAAACAAGTTTCATTTACAGAAACTGTTAAATCTATTTTAATACCTAGTAGGATAACAAAAATTTGATTACAATAAAATGATATTCTGAAAGTTTTGTGAAAACCTTGAAAGTTTCATATGTATTATATTAAGGAATATTAATTTTGAGTGCATTGTTGCAGAATATAATAATGCACGGTTCCAGTTCAAGCAACCCGGCATATAATGAGGAAGGCTGTAATTACAAAGCATTTAATGATAAAGAAATATTGATATTCTAACATGCTAATAGAAGAGATTGATGAAAATATGTTTAACTACATTGAGCGTAGAAGTAATTTTCTTGACATCATTTTGTTTATTGATGCCATATATGACGTCATATGATGTGCAAACATTGTTTTTATGTTGTGTATATGTGGTTTTATATTGCCCTTGATAAGTTTGTCAGGTAACCAGTGCCATTTGAGGGAAGAAATACCTCAATAACTTTCTCCTTAATTATTTAATACTATGAAATATATATTCTTTTATTTGGACCATCATACACAGCTATGCTTTCTGTTCTGCATACAAAATACAACATTCATCAAAAATTTTAAACAAGCCGTCACTTAGTATACCCACATTATTTGTCCCTTTCTTAATTCTGCCATTTTTCCATATCGTCCATTGCACTTCGCTTAAAATGTCATGAACCCCCTCCCCATAACTCACTGCTTATCTGGCACAGCAGTGATCACGTTTTCTAAGATTTATCAGTACAGGTTAATCTTAATAATGGTAAAATAATGCACACAATAATAATCTATATACAATATTCAAGATTTCAAGATTTATTCAATAATGTCATGGTTCATAAGAACAATGTGACATAAATTACAAAATTGTGAACAGTAACATCCGGAACACATAAGAATACACATAAAAATATACATAAAAACAGGGGAATGAGTGACAATTATATTGTACCCATAAAATAAAGATATGATTAGATATTCTCAATAATTAATAACCAGAATTCATGATTCAATAACAAAATTTCTAGAAGACTAATGATATAACATTATACTTAATGTTTGCACGGTGTATTTATTTCATTACAAAATAAAGCAAGGTTTTTAAATGTGACTTGTTTTAACTATTCATAAGATCTTCAAATTTTAATGCATCAGGTTACTGTACCCTGTGTGTTTCCTTTCTTTGCTGTATTTAATTTACTTGGTGGTAATTTAAAAGGTCGTCAGTGTTACGAAGCGCTTGTAATCAAGTGAAAGTGGGCGAAAAATTGTAAAATAAAATGGAATTGTCTCAATCAGTTTTGGATGGGTTGGCAGTTGCTGGAGAGAGCTCTCAAATACCAGATAAAAGTTATAAAGTTTTGGTTACGCGAGCATTTGATGGAGTTCTGGATGAAAGGCACAGAAACCTCATCGCCAGTGAGTTTTAGGAGAGTGGGTGGGGTGAAATTAGTCCAAAATAGGTCAGACACTCACATTGATATTTCCATAGATTTACAGTCCCTAATCCTACCTTAAAATTGAGTTTTCATGCTAAAGAGGTAATTTTTCTAGCAAAATGAAATGCCTGACACATAAAAATGTTCCTGTTATATAGGGGTAGCTAACCAAATTTTTTGCAAAATGACTTCAAAGAGGATTACCCCTATTTCATTGAAATTTTCTGCTGATCGCAGGACTGACATACACTTTTTAATATGAAAAAGGCAAAGCCTCAAAGCGAGCTTATTTGCTCTTACTGTAAAGTAGTTTAAAATAATAATTTATTTTTATTTTACATCTGTTTTAAAATTGTCATTCGGTATTATAAACTGGCTTTATAAACTGCTTCTGTTTATTCTGGTTCCCCCTTTCTATAAAGTATAATGGTTCCCATATAAGTGCGCAGGACACCAGTCTACGCTTCCGTTTTCAATCAGAGTACATCGGCTTTTATCGTTATCTCGTAATTCAAAAAGTTGCGATGTGTCCAATTCGGTACTTCTGACGAAAGTTCAAAACCATCAGCTAGTAGGTACTCGCGTTACCGTAAAGCTCGCTTTGCGAGCAGGCCCTTTGGGCTTGCTCGTTGAGCTCGCTATATATGCAAATATCCAAGTCAAAATTATCACAGAGACTTGTGAAATATTTCATTTTCTGCAGAAAACAATGTAGTTTTACTTTTCAGGGCTCATCCTGGGGGGAAATTTTAGGGAGAAGTGACGACCTTGCGAAAATTAGGGAGAAGGGAAACAACCCAATGTGTATGCATTAACATGCATGGCTATACATCCTTTAATTATAATATAAACACAATTAACATCACTTATAATATTTCTCCAGTTTATTTATTAATAGTAGATTAATTCATGGTAGTATAAATTAAAAGTAGATTAATTATTTAGTAGTAGATCTGGCAATGGCATCTAAATGTTTTTGAGCTGCAAATATGAACATAAAAAATTATTTTTGATATCTATTGATCAGCTATTTATAAGCTTTCTCTAAATATGTGTTTATATATTTTCATGTACATTTGTTGATAATAATGTGTAAGAAAAGATATGATGATAAAATCAATTTCATATTTTTTACTTTTAATACATTCCTCACCTTTAAAAGAAGATGAAGTCACATTGGATATTGACTAATAATATCTGTTCTATTCTGTTCTGGTAACATAAATTTCTTACAATGTACAGATTGTTGTAATGTCACGATTATATGCATATAATTATGCTTATAAAACAATTTTCAAACATCAAAGAATATGTAAAATATGTACTGCAAACATTTGTGCACATTATATTTGATCACTAAAATTACATACATTCATTTCTTATTGAAAAATTTGACTGAGAAATTGTAGAAAATTAATTTCTTATTACCTCCCTTCATTTTCATGAAACGTTAAATTCGGTAGTATCTTTATAAATAATGCTTTTTAAAATTTACAATATTGATAAATCTTAATCTGAGCGTCATATTTACGACATTAAAACAAATATATATATTGAAACAATAAGAACACTTCTTTCCTGACAAATTTTGTTGTCATGATATACGACCGATATGTCTTACCCACGTGCGTAAACTGTGTCAAATTTGGCATTTCTACAAAGAGAACAATGTCAAACACCCCCACTGTCTACAACATACCAATTGCAAGATTTTTGCGAATTGGCTTTCTTAAATTTTTGCGTAGGTGTAACTATCAGAATCAGTAACTAACTGCTCGGTTTCGGCATTTCGCCTTGTAGCCTAGTCTCAATATTTCGACGGCAAGACAGACCGATTTTATAATCTGATATTTCATAGATGTCTGTCGACCACCGAATATACAAAAAAGCCCTAAAGCGCACAATTTGTTGGGCTACTTGTAGCCATGACGTGAGCGACATAACAATTTACAGTAAAAAATGATGTTAACAGACTGAAATCATTCAAAACTATGATTAAGTTTTTAATCCGGTCGCTGATCATTAATAAAATTGATTATTTTTAATTGACTAACAGTTTTGTGATAGCCGTGAAAAATCCATTGCACATCGCCTTTACTCGGGTTAAAAACCCACCATCGAAGTGCATCGTGTATATCAATTAGGGAAGATTGCACGTGTTTAGATAATCGGGGAAAAAACAATGTATAATTATCGCCAAATCTCGTATTAAACTCGCAAAACTATATACCGTTTCGGGCCGATGCTCTCATTATTTACTGTTTAGAGTAGGCGGTCTATCGCTTCGCTTACAGGTAGAAGGGTAGTATAAACACGCCCGTTTAACTCACAACGAGTGAAAAATGTCCATCGGTTAAAATGTTGTGAGAAACTTCCGTTCCTCGTTGTGAGCACCCATCTTTGACGTGTGACACGATAAACAAGGTGAGTTTTTCATAATTTTTAAAGATTACAGACATTTATGTAAAAATATCGAAATGCAGTTAGCTAGCGATGTGTTTTCCGAGTATGCACATGTAAAGATATTGCCTGTTGGTTGACAATTTGATGGAAATACCGTGCGACGCAGTCACTCGGGGTAGCAGGAAAACTGGAGGCAACTTCTCTTTGGACCTAATTTAACATTGAAAACGTCGATTCTGGTGACGTTTTGTGCATTCTAACCTAAAACAGATGCCCACAAGTCTTCAGCGTAAATTGTAATCTGAAAGTCTTCATAGAAACGAGGATATACCCTGTTTTGCTTCAATACTCGTTGTGAGCACCATAACCTCGTTGTGAGCAAGACAAGCGCAGTCCTTGTCTGGTTTTAATATGAAATTCAAATGGCAAGAATACAATTTTCAATCTACCAAAAGCAATCAAAACGTTTTTGTACAATAGTTTTTCTTTGCAATAGTTCTTCTTTTTTGAAAATAATATTTTTCATATTCACAAGTCATCAGATTAACAGAAGAACTAATCAGTGGAGGTAAATTAGCTATTTTATTTCGTATACTCTAGTGTGGCACGAGTGAACATCACGGGGAGTTTATGAATATTTCAACAATTTCACAATCTGTGGGATACACACATACATATGTTTATCCTGAGCTGAAGACTGACCAAGTTATGAAAAACAAGAACTATCACGGTAAGTTGACAATGCCCCCGAAGTGGCGTTTTGTCCTTTGATTTATGGACCAGATAGATTATTTGATTTTGGACAATAAGATCTTCAATGTGAAGGTCATTCAAGGTCAAGGTGAAATAAATATAGGTCAGTTGGAAGGTCTTGTCCAAAGGGGCATTGTGTCCAAATATGAATTAATTCCACTTACTTATAAAGAAGTTATGACCAATGTTTAAAGTTTTTGGATGTTCTAGGTCATTCAGGGTACAAAGTAAAAAAATACAGATCAGTTTGAAGGTCTTGTCTGTTTGTTGTTTCAAAATATGAGTAGAATCCGTATGCTAATAAGGAAGTTTTGACCAATTTTTTAGTTTTGGACAATTTGACCTTCAAGGTGAAGGTCATTCAGGGGTCAAGGTCAAAAGAATATAGGATAGCTGAAAGGCCTTGTCCAAAGATGTGTTGTGCCTAAACAATATGCCAAATCTTAATTGTTTTTGGACAATTTGACCTTCAAGGTAAAGGCCATTCAGGGGCCAAAGTGAAAAAATACAGGTCCGTAGGAAGGTCCTGTTCTTCGGGATGTTGTGTTCAAATATGAATCAAATTCGTTTACTAATACGGAAGTTATGGCCAATGTTTAGTTTTCGGACAAATTGACGGACTGACAGACGGACAGTTCAAAACTAATATGCCTTCCTTTGGTGTATGCACAACGTCTTGCAAAGAAATGCTGCTGTGCAAAAACGTTTTAATTGCTGTGGTAGATTGAAAATTATATTTTCACATCTGAATTACATACACGCACTGCGCTTGTCTCGCTCACAACGAGGTTATGGTGCTCACAACGAGGATTAAAGCAAAAAAGGGTATATCCTCGTTTCTATGAAGACTTTCAGATAATAATTTACGCTGAAGACTTGTGGGCATCTGTTTAAGGTTAGAATGCACAAAACGTCACCAGAATCGACGTTTTCAATGTTAAATTAGGTCCAAAGAGAAGTTGTCTCCAGTTTTCCTGCTACCCCGAGTGACTGCGTCGCACGGTATTTCCATCAAATTGTCCACCAACAGGCAATATCTTTACATGTGCATACTCGGAAAACACATCGCTAGCTAACTGCATTTCGATACTTTTACATGAATGTCTGTAATCTTTAAAAATTATGAAAAACTCACCTTGTTTATCGTGTCATACGTCAAAGATGGGTGCTCACAACGAGGAACGGAAGTTGCTCACAACATTTTTACCGATGGACATTTTTCACTCGTTGTGAGTTAAACGGGCGTGATAAAGCGACGCTCTGATTGGATAATGACAATTAGCGGTCGTCATATGGGCGGATACAATCTCTGCTCTTTACATCGCTAAGTAATTACTATTTGGGAATTAAGATTTTATCGGCGATGTTGACTTCTCTTTGATCAATCGGAAGAGCGAAATTGGAATATACACGGCAAAGTTTTCGCCTGAATCGCCCTTCCGGATGAGCCCTGCTTTTTAGTCCCCTACCGGTTTAACCGGAGGGGACTTTAGGTTTACCCTCCGTCCGTCTGTCCGTCTGTCTGTCTGTCTGTCCGTCTGTCTGTCAGTCCGTCAGTCCGTCCGTCCACAAAACTGGATCCCGCGATAACGCAAAAAGTACTGAAAATATTTTTATGAAACTTGATATATGGATAGATGGCAGTATGGAGATTATGCACGTCATTTTTTTTTTCTTCCTATGTTGAAAATTCTGGTTGCTATGGCAACAAATAGTCTGAAAATATGGCAAATTTAGCACATAAACTGGATCCAGTGATAACTCAAAAAGTACTGAAAATATTTTTATGAAACTTGAAATATTGGTAGATGGCAGTCTGGAGATTATGCACATCTTTTTCTTTTCTTCCTATGTTGAAAATTCTGGTTGCTATGGCAACAAATAGCCTGAATTTCAAGATTTCTGATTTAAATTTTTCAGCTTTTTCACTATATGTTCTTTATTTCTTAAGGTGTTTACTTCAAACTTTAAATATAAGTTTCTGGTCATCAACCACATCATATGTGACAAGGCTTATAACTCTAGCACAAAAAATATCAGTATTACCTCCCTTGAACTTAGATTTTTTAGGGGAAAAAATGTTGTCTTTTTTAAATAACTTCTTTATTTCCTAATGTATCTACTTCAAACTTCATATATATGTTTCTTATTATCACTCGACATTTTTGAGAAGGTTAAATACTCTAGCAAGACTATTTCCAGAATTATGTCCCCCTTGAACTTAGATTTTTTTCGAGAAACTGGTATTTTCACTCCAACTTCTTCATTCCTTATAGGATTTACTTTAAATAATATGACAAGGTTGTATAAACATAATTTCCTTACTAAGCATGGAAACTTAACACATTACTGTGATATAGACAAACTTATTTTATTATGTTTTGTGGTTGATATTTTCAAATACAGACTTCATCCTCAAATTCATTATAAATGGCAATATACAGGAGTGTATGACAATTAAAGAACTTTTTGAGGGACCGGTAGGGGACTACTGTATTGCCCGCAATACTATCAAATGCTTGTTAAGTTAGTTTTTAAACTTAAAAATACTCAACTTTCATCCAATCACCTCATGTATAAATTGAATCATATGGTTTTCCCTGCACTTTTTTTTTCAGCCAATCGCTGGCCATGTTACAATGCGATACCCTGACCTAAAATTTAGACGTCACAGGCATGGTTTTTGTCGGTCAAGCTTTGCCCAGAAGCAAATTTATCTCAATATTTTTAAGTCACTCGTATTTTTCAATGTGAGCAAAAGGAAGATCGCTCAACTTGCATATAAAAATGATCATGCTTATAAATGGAGTATACAATAAATATTATAGATTTCTGATAATATACGTATACAAACTGCAATTTATATAGTGGAACCCCATTGTTTTGTGCCAGGGCCAGCAAAATCAATTGTCCATATAATTCAGGTTGTCCCACAGACTGTACAGACAAGTGAAGATTTTCAAAAATTAACTATGTATTAAAATTATAATCATACGGGCAAGTTAAAACATGATTTACATGAAAACAGTCAAGTACAGTCAAAATCAGATTTTGCTGGCTCTGTGTGCTATTCATTGTATCATCATATTTACAAATCTTTCGATATGTTGAAAAATGCGCCACCAAATGATTGTTTACATTTACAACAGTGTCACGAAAATATTTTGCATTTGTTTTTTGCCTTAGCAATTATCAAAAACACGTTTCCATACCTTAAGACATTAAAGATAATAAATAGTCTTATAAATAGTGTGTTCTTATTAAAAGTACATTTACTTTGTTAAAAGTTCCTAAATTTATGCTGACATTTTAAAACAGACAGAATCTGTGTTTCTAATTTACTGAAAAATCTAACATATTTACATAAAGATGGTTCAGGCTTTCCAAACTTTGACTAACTGAGCAATTCACACAATGCATCAATATAATGGCGTGACCTAATTCTTCAACCTGTTTGATATGTCGGAAATATCCGTATATTCCAGAACTAAAGACTAATATATCACTGATATTTGCCGTGTAAATACCATGAAAAAAGGATTAAAATAAATTGTACAAAATAAAGATTCAGGGAAATTTATTTTTTTTTAACTGCAGTTGTGATTTTTGGGTAAATAGATCGATACAACGGGGTTCCAGGTTATATAAAATTTAATTTAAACGCTACATTTAATATTCTATAAGACACTTTTGTATTTTTCAATGTGAGCGAAAGGACGATCTCAGAAGTTTTGTGTAGAAATTAAGCAAATAAATGGTGATTAAATCATCATTATAAATATTTTGGAAAGTAAGTAATAAAAATTTCTGATAATAAACGGCTACAAACTGCAATTTATGTATAAATTTCAATTTAAATGCTATATTTAATATTTTGTAAGTCACTTTCATATTTTTCAATGTGAGAGAAAGGAAGATCTCAGAACTTGTTGATAGTAATTATTATCTTCTTGTAAAAACCCACAAGGCTTAGAGCATAGATATTTTGCATAAGGCATTGCAGGCCCTTTTTGGAAAACGCCACATGGCAAATTTGTGTCGTTAAATTTTCCAGTTTGGGAAAAAAGTTATTGTGAAATTTGCCAATTTGGTCAAGGTGTTACAATTGTTAAAATAAATCTAAATAAATCTTACTTAAAATGTTCAGCTTTTTCTGTCATATCAAAAATACAAGGACAGGCTAAAATGTGTACAAATGTAAAACTGAAAAAATGTAGAAATTGAAAGATATCCGAAACTTCCGTAACGCTATTTCACGATACCAAAATTGAAAATGTGGTACTTTTTCTTTCAAATTGCTGACTTCTAGATTGGACATATTTTTTTTGGATTGGGAAAAAAAACATAATTTGGATGGAGCCGATATTCGGACCTTTGGGATAGGGGAAAAAAGGCCTGCATTGTCTGGTAGACCTCTACCAAGATTGTTCAAATTATTGCCCTGGGGTCAAAAATTTGCCCCGCCCGGAGGTCATTGATTTTCACTATGTACATATAATAAAAACTTAAATTATCTTCTTGTCTTTAGAGCTTTGATATTTGCTATATAATATCATCTAAAGGTCCTCTACCACCAACAACAACAACAAATACTTTTATTTAGAATCGGTTCACATGAATGCAACAACATGATCAACCAAAGTTGTTCAAATTTTGCCCCTCAGATGTCAAAATTGGCCCTGCCTGGCAGCATTGATTTTCATTATGTACACATAGTTAAAACAGAAACTAAAACTACTATTTAGTGTTGTATTAATGCGTTGGCATAGCATTTTTCACAAATGCAATCTTGTTTCATTATTATATGGATACAATGCATAATTATAAAGGTAATTATTTTGACTGTAATTTATCAAAACTGAAGAATGTACATGAATCAGTCAAAATTTTTCATAAGTAAATATGATAAATTCATCAAACTAAGAACCCCATTTTGGGAAAACGTATGTTCACATCACTTCACATTGGAATAATGCTAATTGGCAGGGGGCTCTGGAATGCCAATTTAAAATTGGAACCATAATGAGACAGGAAACCAGAAAAACTGTTTAACAGCATGCTTTGGTAAATAATAGTGCAGGTAAATTGCTGGCACTGACTCTCGGCATTGTCCAAATATAATAGGACAGGGAACCAAAATTCCCTCCGATGAAGAGCAGGAAAACTAAAAACTACCCATAATTTTTCTGTACTTCCGTCAAAAAATTTGCCGCTAGCAATATAATAAGTTAGAAGTTAATATTTTTGCCCAAATAACTGTTGGAATAAATGTACTTGTTGGATCATTGAGGAATTCATTCAAGGCACCAAAATATATCTCATATGCATCATAGATATCATCAAGTCTATTTAACATTTCTTATTTCCATTTACTTGGTATCTTGTTTATAAATAGCAAATAAGAACACTGTAAACAGAACAAATTATCCCTTTCATACTTAAGAAATATCATAATATGGACGTTAACAACATTATTTTTGTTCTATTTTTAAAGAGGATCCATCCTTTCGAGAATTAGACCAGGCTGTTGTGAAGGAAACATATTCATCAATGGTTACCTTGGTTACTGAAGCAACAAAACATGATCTAGATAACAATTCTATCAGGTATGTATAGATTCTTTGATATATGACCCGCGCCATGACAAAACCAACATAAAGCGTTTACGACCAGCATTGATCCAGACCAGCCTGCGCATCCACGCAGTCTGATCAGGATCCATGCTGTTCGCTATCAGTTTCTCTACTTGTTTTAGAGTTTGTAAGCGAACAGCATGGACCCTGATGCCCAGGCTGGTCTGGATCCATGCTGGTCGCAAACACGTTATGTTGGTTTTGTTATGACGAGGCTCGTATTATTTCAATAATATAACCTTTAATTCAATATCAATATAGCCTTAATCATAATTATCTGTGCATGAATGTTGAATTTATCAAAGTTAAAATGTAAAAAAGTCTTGAATAATTTTGAAAAGTACTGAATAATTTAGAAGTGGATTGAGTTAAAGGTAAACAATATCATAGGCTTGGAGTTTATTTCTAAAAAATATGAAAATTATTTGCCGTCTGATCATGATCTGCACTGCTTGCTATTCAGTCATAAACTATTTAGAAATTTTAAAAAATGATAAAATTGTTTTGTCCAGATTTAAAGATGGCCAAGTCTGTTTTAGATAATCACCAGGTTTAGGGTTTAACTATTACTATTTATTACATTACACATTTACTGTATTTGTAAGGAATAATTGCGGTTACAATTTTCATGATATCATGTTCATCCATTATTATGTGTACACCTGACTATAATTATAATATTGTATTCCAGTTCAGTGTTGGAGGAATGCAAATATGCCAGTGATAGGATAGAAACATTTAACAAAGTTTATAATGTAAGTTATATACAGTATATGTGTATTAGTTAAAGAATCCTAGTTACTATAGAAACTTGATTCTCCTAGCGAAGAAAATGCATTATGCTTACTGCTTTAACGAGATTGCATTTAAATAAGGTCCATATGCTGATTCAAGCAATGACATGGTGATTTGCTATGGGTTGCACAGACCCAGGCATTGTGACTAAAATATGTTTTTATTTCCATGTAAAGTTGAGATTGCCGATGTTTCTCAGAAGTTTTATGATATAAATTTTGGTATCCCTAAAAATGATAATGGAAAGTCCCAAAACTTAAAGCTGGACAAGTCCATTCAAGAAATTCAGCAGATTCATAAGGATTGAAAAAAAAGTTTAATTCTCTGAATAAAGAGGATGATGTTAATCTGATTTAGAATATTTAACAATGTTACATCATAATTTATATCTTGAACTTTTAGGGTTTGTATAGTAAGGAATAAAGTGTTATTGAAATGAGGGTTTTTCATGTGATTTTTATTGATATGAATGTGGTAGTTTGAATTAAAATGGTGTATCTTTTTGTGATATTGCAGGAATTTTTTCTATGTGCACTTTTGCAGTACTATTAACCAAATCTGTTTTCTACTGCTGCTTGCACTCTATAGAGCCTGTTTAGTGTAATTTAAGTTAACTCACAGTAATAGTCAAATTTTTTTTTGAAGCCTTTGGTGTTATATTCTAATGTTATTGTTTTTCTTGTGCAATTTTCAGACAAAGAAACCATTGATGCAAATTTTATTAAGCAGGTAAGCACTTTTGATTTGCTTGTCAGAGTTTAGAGAAATATAAATCTGAAGTCAAACATGTTCAAGTCAATAAAGAATGTAAAACTATGGCTGTTCAAGATCTTAAAAGATATATGACAGGAGTTGTCTTTTCATACACATTATGATTATATCAAACAAGTCTAAAAGAATGTTTCTTGGATGAAACTGATGAAATATATATATATATGAACGGATATCAATTTATGAGTCTTTTTATCTCATGATATGTTATAAAGTCAGAAACAACAATACACCGCAAAATTACAGTGTATCACATGCATTGTTTTAAGATGTTGTCACATTCAGACATTTACTTTATTAGTCCCCTTCCGGTTTAACTGGAGGGGACTTTAGGTTTACCCTTCGTCCGCCTGTCTAGTCTGTCAGTCCGTTTGTCCACAAAACTGAATCCCGCGATAACGCCAAAAGTACTGAAAATATTTTTATGAAACTTGATATATGGATAAATGGCAGTATGGAGATTATGCATATCTTTTTCTTTCTTCCTAAGTTGAAAATTCTGGTTGCTATGGCAATATATAGAATGACAATATGGCAAACTTAACACATAAACTGGATCCAGTGATAACGCAAAAGTACTGAAAATATTTTTATGAAACTTGAAATATGGGTAGATGACTAGATGAAAGTCTGGATATTATGGACATCTTTTTCTTTCCTTCATATGTGGAAAATTCTGGTTGCTATGGCAACAAATAGACTGAATTTCAAGATTTTTTATTCTAGTTTTTACGCCTTTTCACTAAGTTCTTTATTTCTTAAGGTATTTACTTCAAACTTTAATTACAAGTTTATAAAAAAATGTTATATTTTGGTTACAGGGATGTTTAAAAAATAACTTTAGAGTCTCCTTCAGTCTGTCTGTCTGTCTGTTCATAAAAAACTGTTTCCTGAGATCACTTTTAAAGATTTTTTCCAAACAATTTACTAAAAATAGAGAAAAGTTTAAACATTAGTTATACTTATTCATCCTGAGAAAATTGGACCTTTTAATTATCTGTTGTATAAACATAATTTCCTTACTAGGCAGGAAACTTGACACATTACTATGATAAAGACATACTTAAAACTCAAAAAGATTTAATTTCATTCATGTTATTCATTCATTCATTCATTCAATGGTATAATTGAATGGCCAATGGCCCATCAGAATGTTGCTGGGGTTCTAACTGGTAGCGGACTTATGGATTGCTTGCAATACTATGATAATTGCTTGTTGTTAATGATGTCATGATGTGCTGAATTTAAAGTATGCAGCACTAAAATGGGACATCACATTGAAAAGAAATGATTAGCACATATGTTGAAATTGTTCTCTTTGTGTTTAAGAGGTTTGTATATGTAAAAAAAGTTGGGCTCAGCTATTGTGGTTGCTGTGTCATGATGTCCAAAACTATCAAAGCTTTAATCTTCATTAATCCTTGAGGACTTGATTACATGTATTTTGACAAGGCACAGTTGTAAGACAAGAGACATTATTGTGATAGCAATGTTTCTAGAAGTTACTTAGAATGTTTGTAAAAAACTAATTAATACTTGTTGCCAATAGCATATTGGTGTCAGCACATAATGCAGTGCTCTTGTTTCATTGTAAATTTCATGAATCTGTTCCAGAGGAAAAATAAAGAGAAAATAATGATGGCTGAACACAGGCATAAGTCAATGGCTATTTATTTACTTATTTTATGTTTATTTCAGTGTAGGAACGTGTCCCCCACACATAGTTGATGTTGACTGGAGATTAGATTACTATATTAAAGTAAGTTTAACTTATCATTAAAAAAACAATACTGCTTTCAATTTGAAAATTTGGTCCTTGTCAGTCATGCTGTACATAGATGGACTGACGAAACATTGGTTAGTGGTGGCATTCATGTCTAGTGGACATACACATGTATTTCTACTTTCTTTCTACAGCAGGAGCTGTTTATGGGCAGCTTCCATCTCCATAATAACCCACCCAGGAAAATTCTTTAAAATCATACAGGTCTCCAAGAATTGTTTTTTTTTCTTCACATTTTGTGTTTTTCCCACACAAATTTTAGGGCATGGCCCCTTCTTTTGTCAATGAAATAAAGTCTCAGCTATTACTACAGTTCATGAGTAATATATTTAGGAAATTATTCATAATAAGGTGGGACTTCATGGCAGAAGAGGTATGGTTACTGACTTTAATATCCTGTCATACTCTATGTTACGAAGCTATCCAGCAAGCTGATGGAGGATAGATTTTCTCAGATGTATTTAAAGAAAAAAATTAAGCGAAGCTGGGATAATCTGAGGTCTCCCTCCACCAATAAAGCTGCAATGTCACAATATTACCTTAACAGAATGTTTTTGACATTTAACTTAACAGGCTTTATAGTTTATATTTGGAGGAAGATTTTGGTATCAGGAATGTTACAGCTTAGTATATATGTAGAGTTTTTCTCCCCAGTTCATGCAAAGACAAGCAACAAAAGCTCTTGATAATAATGAAAGTTTTTGTTTCTTCAGTAGAGAAATTATTGTAAAAAATGAGGGATAAGAAGTTAAAAAGACCATCAGCAGAAAATTTGGCATACAGTCCAGACATTATAGGGTTGTTGGTAACATTAATTATTGTTGTTGTATAAACACCACTTGTTTCATTATGGTTTTAAATTTTCAGAATAATCATCTAGAGCGGGTCAACGAGGCTGTGTATCTTGTAACATTAAAGACAGAGGTGAGATAAAATTGTTGCATTTTTTCATGCACATATCTAGAGGTGGTAGGGGGTTCCCCCAACCCCCACGCTGAATTTGACTAGTATGATATCAAACTTATGGGATATTTTTAGCTCACCTGTCACAAAGTGACAGGGTGAGCTTTTGTGATCACTTTTCGTCCGGCGTCCGTCCGTCCGGCGTCCGTCCATAAACTTTTACTTTAAATGACATCTCCTCATAAACCACTAAGCCATTTTCATCCAAACTTCACAGGAATGTTCCTTTGGTGGTCACCTTTAAAAATTGTTCAAAGAATTTAATTCCATCCGGAACTCTGGTTGCCATGGCAACCAAAAGAAAAAAACTTTAAATATCTTCTTTTAAAAATCCCAGAGCTTGAGCTTAGATATTTGGCATGAAACATCTTCTAGTGAGTGTCTACCAAGTTTGTTCAAATAAAAGCCCAGGGGTCCAAATTGGCCCCGCCCCAGGGGGTCATTGATTTTCCCTATATGCATATAGTAAAAACTTAAAAATCTTCTTTTAAAGAACCCATAGAGCTAGAGCTAAGATATTAAGCATGAAACATCTTCTAGTGAGTGTCTACAAAGTTTGTTCAAATAAAAGCCCTTGGGTCAAAATTGGCCCCGCCCCAGGGGGTCATTGATTTTCCCTATATGCATATAGTAAAAACTTAAAAAATCTTCTTTTAAAGAACCCAAAGAGCTAGAGCTAAGATATTTAGCATGAAACATCTTCTAGTGAGTGTCTACCAAGTTTGTTCAAATAAAAGCCCTGGGGTCAAAATTGGCCCCGGCCCGGGGGGTCATTGATTTTCCCTATATGCATATAGTAAAAACTTAAAAAATCTTCTTTGAAAGAACCCATAGAGCTAGAGCTAAGATATTTAGCATGAACCATGTTCTAATGGGTGTCTACAAAGTTTGTTCAAATAAAAGCCCTGGGGGTCAAAAATTGGCCCCGCCCCGGGGGTCATTGATTTTCCTTATATGTGTATGGCAAAACTAAAAATCTTCTTTGAAAAAACCCAAAGAGCTAGAGTTTAGATATTAAGAATGAAACATCTTCTAGTAAGTGTCTACAAAGTTTGTTCAAATAAAAGCCCTGGGGTTAAACTGGCCCCGCCCAGAGGTTTCATTGTTTTTAACTATATGGTGTATAGCAAAAACTTAAAAAATCTTCTTTTAAAAAAAACCCAATGACTAGAGTAGATTTAAGCAGGAAACATCTTTTTGTTGGTGTCTACCAAGTTTGTCCAAATAAAAGCCCTTGGGTTTAAATTAAACCCTGCCAAAGGGGGGGGGGGGGTGGTGGCGGAGGTCATTGTTTTTCATTATATGTGTGTAGTAAAAACTTAACATCATGAAACATCTTCTAATGGGTGTCTTCCAAGTTTGCTCAAATAAAAGCCCTGGGGTTTAAACTGGCCCCGCTCCGGGGGCCTATATACAGGTGAGCGACCTCAGGGCCATCATGGCCCTCTTGTTTAGCAAAATTCACACAAAAACTAGAGCATTTCACCAAAATTTGGACTTGTGACCCCCTTTGGAAAAGTAGCAAGATGTCAACACCTCTTTGGAATACACATAACTCTTTATCAACAGTAACCTGATATCAAAAATAAGCCCCGCCCATTTTTAACAGACTTTTTTCAATTGCTTATATTCTCATTTTCATCAGCATGTGAATTCTACAATGTAATCTCATATTCTTACAAGTCTTGAATCAAGATGCGATATTTATTTATTTATTTTTTCAATTTCGATTTCAATTACGAATGAATTAGATAGCAAATAGTTTTAACACCAACTAAATGAAGTGACGTCATAATTCATATTGCCCTCTAATAAAAATCCTGAGTCTGCCAGCATTCAAACTTGAAAGAAACTTAATATTTCAAAAGAAAAATAAATATATATAATGAATAAATTTCACCAATTCTTGTAAATATTAAGAAGCATTGTAAACTTCGCCTCAAATCTCTATAAAGATGTAAACAATTGCAGTTTGTACTGAATTTAAAATTTACACAGGTCAAAGGTCACAATAGAGTTTAGAGTGTTCAAACTAATCAGTTGTTATATAACAATTACATGTTTTACTGATATTTTGTTAATCATATTTGCTCTATTCTGCAGGTGCCAGGATGTTCGGAGTTGAAAGATGTTCAATTTTCATGTACTCAAGAACAACTTCAGGTAATATAAGAAATAATTAGCCCAAGCTAAAAGCTTAGTTCAGTTTTGGAGTAATTTTGCACAATTGAAATGATGGTTCTGGCAAAAACAAAGTGAACGAATGATTTGAAATTTATCTTAAAAGATATTGGTCCAGACATGAATTAAATACTAGTAGTAGATAATCCTGAAAAGAAATATTTCCAGTCCTGTCATGTCAAAAAAATATTGTAGGGTCCCAGTAATTCAAAAAGGAAAAAATCAGCTGAGCAACTTCAATGAAAAATTTTAACAGGTTAAAGAAAAGTGCATAGTTATTTTCATTGAATGATTTATATCTTTTAACTCTTGTTAGAATCAAGAGTGATTTGGCTTTTCCACTAGTATGGTGCCAGGCTGGTCTGCATTTCCATGCAGTCTGACCTTGGCTGTCGAAGTATTCATTCATCAAAATATCAAAGTTGATAATAGACAGCTCTAAAAATGGAAGCTGAAAAGTTCATTTTAAGAATATAAGGATCTTACACCAGCTACTGGTACAGACCGGGATATCTAGCTTGGGGGTAACAGTTTACAGCTGTAACAAGTTGCTGCTTAACAGTACCCCGAAAGCAAGATATTTCTTTCGGTATTGGTAACCGGTGTTTGATTCTTTTTCTTGCATATTAAATATTAAAATAATATTTCGGAAATTAATTGCAAAACCTAATACCTTAGTGTCGCTTTTTTAACAGCAAAATGACGTCGTTCTAAGTATGCAATTCATTAATAAAAGGCGCTTGGGAATGACGTTATTTAAAGCAGGCGACTTTTCTTACACGGGGGATGTAAGACAGCTTATTCTAGTACTGGTGTAAACAGTAGATAATTCTATTTCATATGAAAGAAATACTGCAGATTAATGTTTAAGACCTGTACATAGATTGTTTTTTGTGTCGCCTTGAAAAGGTGACATATAGGGGTTACTTTGTCGGCGGCGTCATTGTCGTTGTCGGCGTCGGCGTCCCCTAAAGCTTGTCCGGAGCATAACTCAGTCACTATAAGTCTGATTGACTTCAAACTTGGTATGCATGCTTCTTTCAATAACCCGAAGTGCAGTGCACAAGGACCAGTACTCTGCAGTTCTTATTTTTTGAGTTATTGCTCTTTGTTAATTTTCATACTTTAATTTTGTCCAGGCCATTTCTCTTCAACTAAAAAGCTATGGACTTGAAACTTCATAGGATAATAGATCTCATTAAGAAGAAGTGCAGTGAATAAGAACCGGTACTCTGCACTTCCAAATTTTTTGAGTTATTGCCCTTTGTTAATTTTCATACTTTATTTTTGTCCGGGCCATTTCTCCTAATGTATAAAAAGCCATGGACTTGAAAACTTCATAGGATGATAGGTCTCATTAAGAAGAAGTGCAGTGCACAAGAACAGGTACTCTGCATTTTTCTTATTTTTTGAGTTATTGCCCTTTGTTTATTTTCATACTTTAATTTTTGTCCGGGCAATTTCTCCTTAAGTATAAAAGCTATGGACTTGAAACTTCATAGGATGATAGATCTCATTAAGAAGAAGTGCAGTGCACAAGAATCGGTACTCTGCATTTCTTATTTTTTGAGTTATGGCCCTTTGTTAATTTTCATACTTAATTTTTGTCCAGGCCATTTCTCCGAAAGTATAAAAGTTATGGACTTGAAACTTCATAGGAGGATAGATCTCATTAAGAAAAAGTGCAGTGCATAAGAAATGATACTCTGCATTTCTTATTTTTTGAGTAATTGCCCTTTGTTGATTTTCTTACTTTATTTTTGTCCTGGTCATTTCTCCTCAAGTATGAAAGCTATGGACTTGAAACATCATAGAATGATAGATCTTATTGATAAGAAGTGCAGTGCACAGAAACTGCTGCTCTGCACTTATTATTTTTTAGCTCACCTTGCACAAAGTGCAGGTGAGCTTTTAGGATGGCCAACCAAATGGCGTCCGTCGTCTGTCGTCCGTCGTCCGTCCACATTTTAAATATTCTAAGGACATCTTCTATGATACCGCAAGGCCAATGTTAATGAAACTTGGCAGGAATACTCTTTGTATGAAGCTCTATCAAGATTGTTCAAAGAATTCCATTTCATGCAGAACTCTGGTTGCCATGGCAACCGAAAGAAAAATCTTTAAATATCTTCTTTTAAAGAACCGTAAGAGCTAGAGCTTAGATATTTGGCATGAAACATCTTCTAATGAGTGTCTACCAAGTTTGTTCAAATAAAAGCCCTAAGGTCAAAATTGGCCCCGCCCCAGGGGGGTCATTGATTTTCCTATATGCATATAGTAAAAACTTAAAAAATCTTCTTTTAAAGAACCCAAAGAGCTAGAGCTAAGATATTTGGCATGAACATCTTCTAGTGAGTGTCTACCAAGTTTGTTCAAATAAAAGCCCTGGGTCAAAATTGGCCCCGGCCCGGGGGGGTCATTGATTTTCCCTATATGCATATAGTAAAAAACTTAAAAAATCTTCTTTAAAGAACTGTAAAAGCTAGAGCTTAGATATTTGGCATGAAACATCTTCTAGTGAATGTCTACCAAGTTTGTTCAAATAAAAGCCCTGGGGTCAAAATTGGTCCCGCCCCAGGGGGTCATTGATTTTCCCTATATGCATATAGTAAAAAACTTAAAAATCTTCTTTTAAAGAACCCAAAGAGCTAGAGCTAAGATATTTAGCAATGAAACATCTTCTAATGAGTGTCTACCCAAGTTTGTTCAAATAAAACCCTGAGGTCAAAATTGGCCCTGCCCCAGGGGGTCATAGATTTTCCCTATATGCATATAGTAAAAACTTAAAAATCTTCTTTTAAAGAACCCAAAGAGCTAGAGCTAAGATATTTAGCATGAAACATCTTCTAATGAGTGTCTACCAAGTTTGTTCAAATAAAAGCCCTTGGGTCAAAATTGGCCCCGCCCCAGGGGGTCATTGATTTTCCCTATATGCATATAGTAAAAACTTAAAAAATCTTCTTTTAAAGAACTCAAAGAGCTAGAGCTAAGATATTTAGCATGAAACATGTTCTAATGGGTGTCTACCAAGTATGTTCAAATAAAAGCCCTGGGGTCAAAACTGGCCCTGCACAGGGGGTCATTGATTTTCCTTACATGTGTATAGCAAAAACTTAAAAATCTTCTTTGAAAAAACCCAAATAGCTTGAGTTTAGATATTATACATGAAACATCTTTAAGTAAATATCTACAAAGTTTGTTCAAATAAAAGCCCGGGGGTCCAAACTGGCCCTGCCCCAGGGGGGGGGGGGGGGGGCTATATACAGGTGAGCGACCTCAGGGCCATCATGGCCCTCTTGTTTAGTTATTGCCCTTTGTTATTTTTCATAATTCATTTTTGTCCTTGCCATTTCTCCTAAACTACCTTGTTCACAAGGCGACACATCCGACTCGCGGAGTTCTAGTTTTTGTGTGTATTATTATTGATGAAATCTGCTCTTCTTTTTTTTCAGGATATGGTAGGAAAATTAAAAGATGCATGTAAATGTCTAGAGAAAGCCAGCCAAATGTGAAAGAACATTTTATATCAAGGGACCAACACAAGTGATAATTGCATGTGAAACATCACAGCTTGTATATGCTCATTTTATTATTAACATATTAAAGTGGCATGCCCCCAGATAAGTTTAATAAGTCATTAAAACAAAATCAAATGAGGTTTATGAATTATATAAAGACTCCAAATTTACTGGTGAAATTTTTTAGTGTACTTGTGCAACGTTTACACAAAATGTTAGCAGAGAATTTATTATTTCTATCGTCAAGATTTTCAAGAGGAATTCCTGTATGCTTTTACAAATAAGAGAAAAGCAGTAATGGTTAGTTCCGGAAAGTAGACATGAAAACTTTTATCATAATAAAGCTTATATGAGTATGGTTAAAATTCATCAAATTTTAAAAATTTCAAATGATAATAGTGGCTGAGAGTTTGCCTCTCATCAGAATTGCAACCACTGTTTATCCCTGCATGATCGTAAGAGGCAACTAAATGGGTTCAAATTACTGGAATCTATGCATCTCAGGTGAGGTGGTTTTGACCCTTAGTAAATGTCATCTTTCCAGTTTCTGCACCATGTGACCTAAATTGTGTTGGTGTGCTGTAAAACCAGGCAAAACAATGTTAGAAAAGTATTTTTATATAATGAAAATCTGAAGGAATGCTGCTTTACAACTTACAGACATGTCAGATGACAACTTTGTCTAAAAAATGATTATATGTTTGTAATATAAGTGACCAGAATGACAGATAAACAAAATATATTTGATAAGAGGTTTCTATAGTGTGACACATAATTACACATAATTTTCAAGTGACATACAGCCAGTATTTTTAAACTACTTTATACACAGATAACTAATATGAGGTTACAAAATGATGTTATGTGTTTTCCATTTGATTTAACCATTGTGCATTTCTTTATTGTTTATATTACTTGCATGTAATATAACATTGTTGCAACTCAATATTTTCCTTTACATTTCATAAAGAAAATAGCATACCAAAACAATTCATATATTGCAATACATTAGGAAGAGTAGAAACACACCTTTCTTCCATTTGTATTGAAATTAGATTTATAAAAATAGTGATTGTACTAGAAATATTATTTGAAGCTATTACTAAGTGTTTAGAATATTTGTGCTTTAGGTTTACAAGGATTATTTGTAAATACATTTGTAAATCTCCATGAATGTAGAATTTTAAATGTAACTCTAATTTGCTTGTATATGAAATGTGCAATATTTGTTATATAATTGAAATATTTGTTGATTTTGATGATTTGATTATTAAATAATACTTTTTATATGAAAATAATTTGTGCTTGTTGTCTTTGACCCCGAATTCTTGACTTTTTTCTTTGGACTTCTTTTTTTTATTCAGTTAAAACAGTAACATCTAAATTAGCTCAAATCAAGTCAAGACTGCTCTTAAGGGTTGATAGGGATTTTTTGGTATTAACAAAATACTGTCATTTTGATTTGTTATAAAGGGCCATATAACCTGTCAAAATTCTTATAATAATGCTATACTATATACAGGTGAATATTAAGGTACAAACTGAAATTTTCAAATTAAAGAAATTTTTCTTCATATCAGCAGAGACTTGTAAAAATAGCTCTGTGAGATCTCTGAGATCATATTAGTTTTAAATGCCGAAATGAATATTTTGTTCTTCAGCAAGAGAAATACATCCCCGAAGAAAGAGAAAATTTACATAATGGAAATTTACTTACTTATTGTGTGTACATATATGTATGTGTGTGTGTCTACTATGCTATATTCATGTATTATAATATCAACGTCCATATTCAGACCAGGCCAGCAAAACCAAAAATTATCAAAAGAGACATTTGCACTTAATTATTTCACAGCTAGTATTGTAAAAATATATTCCCAATATTTTAGGGTGTTTTTACCTTTATTCGGCTGGAATAATGCCAGTTGTTGACTCTGCTGAAAGTGGTCTTGTAAGGTTTTCTACTAATAACTTGTGTTGATTAACTTTAAAACGTTCAACACATTGATACATTAAAACAAATTTAACCCTTGACCTGATGGAACGAAAATGGTGAAGCTTTGTCACTAGTACCTGTACACATTTCCAGCTAGTGTAACCAAGTAGGCTGTATAATTACACATGTTTGTCTTTATATCCCCAGAAATTGATAATAGACAAGTCTTTAAAAAAGGTTTAATGAAGGGTTATAAAGCAAATGTTTCCACATCAAGTTGGTCAGTATCACCAATGATTATACAAGTAGAGATTTTGATGCTAAAGCATCAACTCGCCGGATAGAAAAATGATTGTATTATCATAAATATAAGAAAATATAAGTTTAATGGTTCAAGTATAAAAATAAGAGGAACAATGAGTTGAGTAATGTTTGCCACTGAGGCTTGTAAGGCAAGTGCTATGCTGGTAATTCTTCTTGTAATTTTACTTTATACATATACTGTTGTACCATACATTGAAATCCGTATAGGTTACTAGTTCAGATTCAGATAATTACCGACAAATAATTACCGATCATCGAATATTTGCAAAGTGACGATGAAAATATATATGTTTAATTATTACATGAAACAATACAATTTTATTGTAAAAGTGTTGTACATCATTATTATTGTGCTATAGAAAAAATATATAATTTAGCTGAAATCAATACACGTATTCCAATCGTTACATACGATATATATAAAATTAACGTTTAATTGCCTTTCAGTGCGATAAACTATCAACACAAAGATAGTTTATTATTTTTTTCTGTGTATCTAATATACTACGATTCGGACCCCTGACGTCATACCGTTTTGGAAACCTGCGTGGTGGAAACCGACGGAATATATACCGAAATCAACGCATTACCATTATATATTTCAATAATGTGCCTCTTAAGCATAACATTATTTTTGGATGTTCAACCTAAACTAAACAATTGAACTTTCTTGTCGAATGTTTGACAGAAAGGGCCAATTTAAACCCTTTACTAAGAAGAAAGGAAAAGGTTTTGAAAATGTATTTTTAATGTAAACAGGTTTCTCTAATGATATAAAGTATGAACCTGATTAATGAAAAATAACTTATGTAATTATCTGTACAAAATTACAATGATTTACATCTTATATATCAGTTACCACCATTAAACAAATTACCTGTCTTATCAGCAATCTGTAACTATTAATAGATTTTATAACGATATACAACATATATAAACATGTAGTCACGTGATTCTTACGAAAGACCAGGGAGCATTTGTTTATAATTAGATAAAATAATGTTATATAAAAGGTCTCATAAAAAATAAACAACCAAATAATTCTAAAGTGTCATTTCAAATATTATTCATGATTTATATATTGTAAAATAGCAATGCTTGACACACAGAAAAAAGTAAAAGTATCTCTAATATTCAATGACTGATCCTTGGGGATACGTTATTGATTCATTTCATGAAAATTGTAATGTTGCTTTTTAAGACGTCAATATGTGCATATTTCATTCCACTGAGCAAAGTTATCATATGTTTGATTTTTTGTGATTACTGAAAAATAATTGTTGTCTTTAACTGTTCAATGTTTGATATGCTTTTATTTTCAGATTTTAAGGGCTTCTCCTACCATAGGTATAATATTAAACTATTACAAATATAGTCGCCGGTTTCTACCGGCGACTAATGAAAATCAAAATGACTCAACTTTAGTGTAATGCAAGGGAGATAATTACTTGCGTATTTATAATTGGATAATAAATGTATTCTCCCTTGATGAATAGTGTGTCTTATTTTTTTCTTTTTTGCTACTTGAAAATTATTATCATATTAAATCCTCCCAAATCAAATGTCAAAATATATTGCTGTATTGCCAAGGAAAATAATGCCCTTTTGAAGTTGTTATTCATTACGAACGATTTTTTTGCTTAAACCCTCTTTGTTATATCTTAATTTGTAATATCTTAAACATTTTTCCTGTGAAAAACAAGTCAATATGATTAATCACAAACCACAAAAACTTTTCGGCTCAATCCAGTTTCTACCTGTCGATCTAGTTTATAAAACTTAAACCCCAGATAAATATACACCGTCGTCCAGGATTACAATTGAACAATAGTTTTGACGCACAAGTAGATTATTCGTTTGAATATCGATTGGATTTTCCCCCCTTTACAATGTATGAATGTTTTATATCGGTTACTCCGTTGCATTCACCAAACAAACAACAACTATTTCAGCTTATGACTATTTCCAATATAATTTAGGCCAAGCAAACACAATTGTCAGGATATCAGTTCCAATACAACTTTAACGGTAGTATCAAAGCTATGGTTTGAAATAAGAAATTTGACCAAGTGAACAAGCTCTGTTTCATAATTATCTGGGTATCAGTAAACCCAAAGATTTTAAATAATTTTATAGCTGTATGCAAATTTAAAATCTTTCTACAGGGC